TACAGTATAGACCCTGCAATCCCGATGCTGGTCTTCTCTTCTTCCGCAGGTGTCCCAATGTTCCCGATGCTTTCAGTCAAGCCTAAACACCGCGCATTTTGGCACATGGGACACCACGTTCAAGACCCTTCCCGTCATCCCGACGAGACCGACACCAACCCCTAAACCCTCTCAAACGATCCTCCGGAGAAGCTGAAATCGTGGACTCCGCCGCAGAGTGCCAGTGCGGCCGCCTGCCTCGGAAGCTTCAAATGAGCTTTAGCGCAACGAACAACCCTCACAATGCTGTCGGATCATAGGCCCCATAGTAGGTCCTTCTTGGGGTTCATGCTTAGAATCCTATAAGGTAGATACGACGGGGTCTATGGTTAACCTAATCCCACTCTGGCAGAAAGAACACGCCCAAAGCCTCTGGAACCGTCTAACTCTTGGGAGCCCAGGAGAACATGGCGGCCGGAGTTTACGCGCAGTTGTGATACAGTAGGGTCTATAGGATTTCTATGGGTCTAAGGGCATGATGCTTTAAGGCTTCAGGTTGATGGGGCTCGCTTTCCATCGGGCTCCATTCTTTTTTATGTACCTACTGCATGCGTAATACTACATACAAAGACAGGACCAAGACTTAGGAAAAAAACGAGGGTTTAACCTCGTTCGCAAACCGCAAACCTTTTCAGCCGGTTTACGGAAACTGTTTCAATGTGCGACAGCGCGGCTGTGACCAGGTCACAAGTGCTACTGCAAAAAAGACTGCATAGGGGTGGGGTTGAGAGTTCATGCCCCCTATATTATGTTGAACCGGCCAAGCAAGGGCTGCGACCACAACGCACCTCTGAAGTTGGAGATCACTTCGACATGGTTGAGATTTAATCATTAGCTTAGTTTTCCCACCCGCCTAGCTGACCAGCTCGCACTGCAGGGCACTTGTTGGCTTATAGGGCCGAGGGTTTCCATGTGCTAGCTGGGTCAATGTCCCCTTATAGGCTACATTGCATCATCAACCACATGTTCAAGCCGCTACCGAAGGTTGCCACACCGATTGGGCGCTCCTGTGCCACTCTGAAACCTCTCAATCCAAGAGCCCCCGGTACAGTCCACGCCTTAACTTACCCTTGACTAGTAGGGAAAGGAAGAATGGTAGTATTCGTAGTTAAAATTGTACCCCATTCCTCCATTCCCTACTAACCAAAGGTAAATTAACCCCGAACCCTCAATCATGCCATCCCTTCGAGTCCTTCGCCTTTGGCAACAACACCCAAACACAAACAAGAGATCGTACCGATTCCTTTAACGGTTCCGTTATCAGACCAGGTTCACGTTGGCGCTGAAGGGGATCAAGAAGCCGATAACCTTGCTGTGCAAAACTATGCGGGCTGGGCACTACAGCCGGATACTGCACACTGAATCCTGAACACTGCTCCCATGCACAGCTCGGTTCAGGTTGGAAGCTGAGGCATCAGAGCACTGCAGAAAGAGACGTCACGCTGTGCGGGGCTGAGGTTCTGGACTGGAGCGAAACTACGCTTTCATGTTCACCGCGGCTGGGAAAAGATACCATGTTCTAGTTGCACTGCTCGGTGAAACAAATCAGGCTCGACGGAAGGATGTTGGCTTGATCGTTCCCGTAATCGTGCCACCTGCTCTGTTCTGCATCATAGTTTTAGGCGACGTCCGTTCTTTCTGATGCTGCACATGGAGTTGTTGCACAACTGAAGCTGCATAAGTGTTGCCATCCCCCAAAGATCCCACATATCCCACATTTACAGCCTACACTCAAATCTTTGGGAAAGGTACAGCCAACTTTCACCAGATCTGAGTGTTCCGAAAAGTGCAAGATGAAGGACACTATGTATGACGATTCATGCAACGGATCTGAGGGCATGTAAGTTTAGGGGAACCTTGTACGTCGTCCAGACGGCTCATTTTCAGGATCCTCCTCATTAATGTTAGAGTGGTGTTTATAAATCGGGTGACAATTAAAATATTCCCGGGGCCGGAATTTCCGGGCGGAAGAGGAGTTTAAAGGGCGGAGCCCAAATGCCCCAAACAACTTATCATAGATGGGAGGTTACATTTATAAAAGGGGTGACAATTAAAATATTCAGGGCCCCAAATCCCCAAAAAAAATAGGATCCAGGTTGAGTAATTAATCAACTGGCAAATGCTCAAACTCAGAGGAAAACCAGCCAGCAGAGTGCAGTTCGGCAGAGACGACACTGACCTACGAGCCCGCAGAGTGCAGCTCCAGATTGTTTTCACTCCACTCCTCGGCAGATCCAATGGCATCCAGAGATCTGTGAAACAGAAGAACTCAGGCTGCCTTAGGCGGCAGACCCAGCTCCAGACGCAGTCTCGGATTCCAAGAACTGCAGCAGCTAAACTTCAGGCCTGTTCCTTATTCCAGTTCTATATAAACGGAGCCATTTCACAAAGCCGGCAAGGGTAACCCTTTGCAGCCCTGCTTTTGGCAATTATAAAAGGGGTGGCAATAATAAACTCCTCCGGGGGAGGGGCTCCCGATGGCAAGCCTTGCTTTTGGGAAAGCTATGAAGCCAGTGGCTTGGACAAGAAGCCACAGGCTTTGGTACTCGAGAGCTGCAGGCTTTCGCAAGAAGCCAGGGGCTCCGGATTCCGGGAACTGCAGCAGCTAAACTTCAGGCCTGTTCCTTATTCCACTTCTATATAAACGGAGCCATTTCACAAAGCCGGCAAGGGTAACCCTTTGCAGCCCTGCTTTTGGCAATTATAAAAGGGGTGGCAATAATAAACTCCTCCGGGGGAGGGGCTCCCGATGGCAAGCCTTGCTTTTTGGAAAGCTATGAAGCCGATGGCTTTGGACAAGAAGCCACAAGCTTTGGTATTCGAGAGCTGCAGGCTTTCGCAAGAAGCCAGGGGCTCCGGATTCCGGGAACTGCAGCAGCTAAACTTCAGGCCTGTTCCTTATTCCACTTCTATATAAACGGAGCCATTTCACAAAGCCGGCAAGGGTAACCCTTTGCAGCCCTGCTTTTGGCAATTATAAAAGGGGTGGCAATAATAAACTCCTCCGGGGGAGGGGCTCCCGATGGCGAGCCTTGCTTTTGGGAAAGCTATGAAGCCAGTGGCTTTGGACAAGAAGCCACAGGCTTTGGTATTCGAGAGCTGCAGGCTTTCGCAAGAAGCCAGAGGCTCCGGATTCCAGGAACTAGACGCAGGCTTTTCTAATTAGTCTTTGCCAGACGCAACATGGAATGACAGAAGCAGCTCGCCTGAAGAAGGCTGTGAGGTAGAACTCTCTGCAGTCGCCAGAGCTTGCTCCGACAAGATTAGTACTATTACTACTAATTATTACTACTATCACTACTATTGCTACTATTACTACTATTTCTACTATTACTACTATTACCTCTATTACTACTATTACTACTATTACTACTATTGCAACTATTACTACGATTACTACTATTACTACGATTACTACTATTACTACTATTGCTACTATTACTACTATTATTACTACTACTACTACTACTATTACTACTACTACTACTACTACTACTACTACTACTACTACTACTACTACTACTACTACTACTACTATTTCTACTACTATCACTACTATTACTAATTACTGTTACTACTAATATACTAGTTCCGGACAAGGCCAGAGGTTTACTATTGCCACCCTGACCCCAAACCCTGCCCCAAGAGACCCCCGCGCAAAACAACCTCCGGGGGGGGGGGGGTTTATTAAAACCACTCCAACATTAAAGGGTTTGTTATGGTCTCTCATGTTCTGAGAGCTTCGTAAGCAATATCTTGTCAGAGGGCCGAAGCTGCATCCGCCAAGAAGCTGCTGCGAGTACGAAGCCAAGGGTGAGGACGTAGCGAAGCAGATCTTTAACTGAGGCCACAGCGCAACTAGCACACCACTAGCACATAAGAAAACGAGTACAGTTCAAGGATCTTTCAAAGAAACCGGTGCAAGTTTATGTGCAAGCATAGGCGGAAGTTGGTAGCAGTGTAGGGCTGCGGGTGCAATAAACCCCGCTGCTTCAAGAGGTTGCATCCGAGCAGGCACTTGTGGTATCCCGTCAGGTAAACAAGCTTAAAAAACATAAGCTTTGTCCAGCAAAGCTCGCGCGATGCAACCGCAGCTATGAGACTGCGCAGGCCTGGAAAGCCGAGAAGGAGCTTGTTCTCGCCGCAGGCCAGAGGCTTGATCCTGTCAAGCAGTGCAGGAATAGGAATCCATTTCAAGGCCCGAGATCGGTCCACCGGGTGGAAGGAAGTATTGACAGCAAACCGATTGCGGCTTGCGGCTCTGGCTTGGGGGGTGAGCTGCGAGCAGAGGACCAACCCTTGTTGACAGTGAGTGGACAAACCAAATCACTGCACACGAAGAGTAAACCTTGACAGTGCCATGCGGTTGTAAGTTGGTCGCAAAGAGCTTCCTCTGAATTCGAAAGAGAGGCACCACTGCCGGTGTCGTGCAGCTGGCAGGGCAGCCCTGGACATACGTCAGTGAACGGACACGCGAGCAGCCTGCTTTCCAAATACATCCAACACGATAATGAAAGCCCTCAAGACCCAGAGCGAGCATGGATTTGAATGGCAACCAGAATATTACGCAACACATCCGGCAGTCCTGGGCAGCGTCATGCGTATCCTTTCTGTGAAGAGCACCTGATGCACAGGGGGCCCAAAAGAAAACGTGCTACCCCAAACGCGTTGTTCATTTTGCACTGCAGCTTCTACACGAAACCCAAACCGGAAAGGCGCCTCACTTTGAACGCCACTCATCCTTGCGTTAAGCGGAGATGCCCTTACCACTCATGTGCAAAAATTACCAAGCTCAAGCGATGCAGCCCCTGCACCTCACAAAGTGACACACATCTTGCGAGTAGTACGTCGTAGTATAGCAATGGTACTGGTGGCAGCCGTGTCAGCAGTAGTAGTAGTAGTAGTAGTAGTAGTAGTAGTAGTAGTAGTAGTAGTAGCAGGAGTAGTAGCAGGAGTAGTAGTAGTAGTAGTAGTAGTAGTAGTAGTAGTAGTAGTAGTAGTAGTAGTAGTCGCAGTGGCAGTCGGAGTAGGAGTAGGCGTTGGAGTAGGAGTAGGAGTAGTAGTAGTAGTAGTATCAGCAGTAGTAGTAGTGTTTGTAGTAGTAGTAGTCGTCGTCGTAGTAGTAGTAATAGTAGTAGTAGCAGTAGTAGTAGTAGTAGTAGTAGTAGTAGTAGTAGTAGTAGTAGTGGTCGAAGTGGTGGTGATAGCACCAGTAGTAGCAGTAGCAGCAGTAGCAGCAGCAGCAGCAGTAGCAGCAGCAGTAGCAGCAGTAGTAGTAGCACCAGTAGTAGTAGTAGCAGCAGCAGTAGTAGTTGTAGTAGTAGTTGTAGTAGTAGATGTTGTAGTAGTTGTAGTAGTAGTAGTAGTAGTAGTAGTAGTAGTAGTAGTAGTAGTAGTAGTAGTAGTAGTAGTAGAGGTGCTGGTACTGGTATTGGTACTGGCAGTGGCAGTCGTAGTCGTGGTGGTAGTAATAGAAACAGAAGTAGAAGTAGAAGCAGTACTAGTGCTCGTGCTAGTACTAGTACTACCGCTGATGCCCTAAATCATGCATCACTTCGAATGTCTTTGCACTTTCCACGGTTTCCCCGCCTACCCTTTCTTTCATTTCTGCACTGACGCAGGAGCTGCTGTACAAGCAGGAAGATGCTCAAATGTCCGAAATCCTGCATGGCTCCATAATGCTATGGATATGCAACACAGTCAACCGTAAGTCGTGGCAGGGTCTACAACATGACCGAGGGGATGCAAAATTCAGATTAAGCCAGATGAGATACGCACGGTGATGTCGGTTGTGCAGAAGGTTGGGCATCAGCATTACTTCTGGTAGTCGTAGAAGCAGAAGTAGTAGTCTTAGTTGTAATAGCAGCAGCAGAAGCAGTTTCAGTCGTAGTCGCAGTGCTGGTGGTGGTGGTGGTGGTGGTGGTGGTGGTGGCGGGGGTGGTGGTGGTGGTGGTGGTGCTGGTGGTGCTGGTGGTGGTGGTGGTGGTGGTGGTGGTGGTGGTGGTGGTGGTAGTAATAGTCGTCGTTGTGGCTGTGGTGGTAAAGTAGTAGTCATAGAAGTGGCAGCTGAGTAGCAATAGCAGTCGCAGCAGCAACAGTTGTTTGTTGCTGATGTTGTTAATGTTGTGATTATGATGTTGTCCCTTTGGACTTGCATACCTTTTTGAGATTTGACTTTTCTGGGTGTGTGAGTTGCTGGTCTTGCGGGGTCTGCTCAGGTCAGGGTATCCAACTTCCAGAGGATGTGTATGGCAATGGATGTGCGGCTTCTGACCGGGTTCAGGACAAGAAAACATGGGCACATAAATAGCCATGAGCCAGCATCCTTCGTACTACTTCCATGTGCGCGTCCCTTGAGTCTCGTACCTCGGCCTCTTTAAAGCCTGAAACCCCTTGGCAATCCCAAAGGTGCAGCAGGCCTGCGCGAGCAACTCGTCGACATCCAAGACAAAAGCCAACCTCGACTTCGGAGCATGCTTGGGTTTAGGGTTTAGGGGTGGATGTTCGTTATCCTTGCCATCCTCAAAACCCTCCACAAACCAAGAACATCCTCAGGTAGCAAATCTACCAGATGGCCATGCAGTAGGCGGCTTGCTCGAATTGCAAGGTTACCTCTTTTCTGGCGGTTGGAGGCACTGTGGAAGCCTTCGGCCGCCTCTCTGTCCCTGAGCTACTGTACCCCATTTCCCGAAGGCTTCGATCCGATGCTGTGCACAGAAGCCGAGGGACGCCACTGCGTTGAGCACGATGTCGTGCAAAGAGGCAGTCTGCGCCAAGTATTGGCAGCCCACCTCGGCTGAACAGTTCTAAGTCGAATTCCTCTAACTGCCGGGGTTTCAGTTCGTTGTCAGACTTGGCTTCGATGGAATACTGCATCCCGTTTTGAAAGCACGTCTGACTGGAACTTGGGAGCCCTTGCTTGGGGAGAACCTGCCCAAGCGGTTTGGGGTTTAGGGCTAAAGCTTCGGGTGCAACCTGGTGAACCCTGACCTCAAGGTTTCCGGCGCCGTTCACGGGTTTCGGATAAAGTGGGTGTCAGAGCCTGCGAAGCCTGGTCCATCTGAAGCCTCTCGGAACGGTTTAGGGTTTAGGGTTTGGGATCGGTAATGTTAGAGTACAGGGCCGGAGAAACCAGATCATGCCCTCTGCCCTGCATGACCACATACCGCCCCAAACAGCACTGTGTCAGCATCGGCTGTTGCTGTGAACCGGTTTATAATAGGTGCCTTAATAAGTTGAATAGGGTTTGGGGATATAGCACACTGTAGTTATAGGGTTTGCAAGGGACAAGATTTGTAAACCATTTCGACGTCTATTATAGTAGAGCCCTGTGCATCCAAGGATCGAACAACCCCCACGTCACTTTTCGTACTTCGGATCTTGAGATTGTCACGTGTAGACGATCATGCTTTGCATCCATGGATATTTTATTTTGCATGTGAGGAGAATCGCAATCAGATAATCAGGGGCTGCGCTGCAATACGCAGGGCTTCGTGGTCTAGGAGCAATTGGGGTGTGCCGACACGGCGCCCCGACACAATTGGCGATCTGCGAAGACATGACATTCTGCTGAGGCAAGTCCAGCCTAAACGCCAAGCTCTCGACACTTGAAGCCCGAATGTAGGGGCCTTAATAAATTGAATTCGGTTTTTTTTGGGGGGTATAGTACATTTTGTATTTAGAGGGACTGACTATAAGCAAGTCTCCAGGGCATCTCCCAACTCTAGGACCTGTCACTCGATTATCATGGCATCCCAAGCTTAAGCTTCGTTGAAACTCGTTTGTCCTACCTTTGGTTCGTAGGGAATGGAGGAATGGGGTAGAATTATAACTACTATTACTACCATTCTTCCATTCCCTACTAACCAAAGGTAAGGTTTGTAAGCATTGAATGAAGGGCACAGGCGCTTCACAGAAAACAAACATCAGCCAAGTGGCAAGGCAGAGACAAATGGTGACGAACAGTCGCGGTATGATCAGAGTGGCAAAAGCCAAGAGGCCTCAGTAAGCTCTGCTCCACAGAGGGCCAAAGCTAACCTGCAGCCTGAACCCATGCGAGCTGCACTGCTCTGCAGACTCTGCAGACACTGACAGTCTTGAAGTGCTGCGCGTCAAAGCTTGGTGCATGCCGTCTGCCGGCCAGTCAACCCATACGGGGTCTGCAAGTCTTCAACAGATTCGGTTTCGAACTCGAGGGCGTAGGCTATGTGCAGTCTTGGGATGGGCAAAGCACCGAGCTGGATGCTCAGCTTCACTCGAAACCCTACAGTAAATCTCAACCCTGATGTCTCTCTCCAATCATGCACCGCCAATAGAGAGGCCAAGGCTCGAAGAACCCTGTAGATTCCGAGAATCTCATCTTGTTCACCATCTTCCGTAATCAGCACAGCAGGATCGCCTCCCAAGAACTGGAACGAAAGCGATCCCACCATCGCAAGGACTCACCAAAACCCAACATTCTGATGTAGGAGCCTTAATGGTGAGAATAGGGTTTGGGGGTATTTTTGTCACTCCTGCTCGACAAGTCAGACAAGGGTTTGGGGGTAGATTATATCTAATTATAATAAGGAACCCCACGATAGTATTGGTAAGTATTACAAGGCCCTACATTACCCGATACAGGACCCTTGATTCCAAGACGCTCCGCCCCTCCCCCCCACCCCAAGCAAACAGTGCCTCTTTTCAGGGTCGGCAGGTGCCAGAGGGCCAACCCCTGTTCGCAACAGCGGCGATACTCAGCCATCATGGTCAGCACCCACCTAGCTTCGACGGTCTTGGGTTGAAGGGTTTAGGATTTCTAGTTCAAGGTTGGGATAGGATGAAAAATGTACATGTTTCCTTTTTGGGCTCAAGTACCTCTAAGATGTAAAATGTTACCCAACTATGACAAAGGTCTTGGGTTGATGGGTTTAGAGGTTTGAGCTCAGGACTTGAGGGTACAGCCGGCACAGGCTTCAGTTCGTCAAGGATTCTTACGCTTCCGGGCTTCCCCCACAAGTCGCCTTAAACCTTGAACTAAAATTGGCCTGGCTGTAAGAATCAGAGTCCGGTATGGAGTTTTGGACTGTACTCGCAACGATGTACGGTGCCCTATGCATGTTTGCATTCCATCGCGTGTCGTGCAGCGCCAAGTTCTTGAAATCAGCCAAGCGGCATGATGATGGCCAGGACACTGAGCGTCCACCCTGGCATTGGCATGTAGAGATACTCGAACATCTCCTGAAACGAAAACGGCTTGCTTTACATAAGTCACCGGCGCGAGACCAAGCAAGACGGCCTGACAAATGATCGGCAGTGCTATACATGGTGCGAGCCATCAAATCCAATCACTCACGCACAGACTCGGGGACAAACGCGCTCCTCCCTTCCCTTCCCTTCCTCACTCCCCTCCCTCCCTGCAGGCAGATTTGTGATATTTTGACTGTATACACACTTACCATCAGGCGGCATATACGTAAGAAGACATGCTTGCACATTCGTGTGATCGGTCTGTCGGTCCCTGTCTGTCTGTCTGTCTGTCTTTCCGTGTGTCTGTCTGTCTGTCTCTGTCAGTCCAGACACGGGCATGCACTCATGCATGTAAGTACGTACATATGTATATACGTATGTCTGAATGTATGTATATCTGTAGGTAGATATCATGGCAGTGCCAATGAAAAGTGTGATGCACCGATGCGCAACCGTTTGAAGCGAACGATGAGGACAGAGCCAACGTGCACAAGTGATCTTGCAAGTGACGACAATGATTGTAACTCGTACCAAACAACATAAAGTGCCATCAGCAGTGTGGGAACGCCAGAATATGCAAGGGAGGGGCGGGAGGGTGTCCATGTATTGGCCACCTACCGGAGAATGCATCAGCTCCTATTGCTGTGCTGACAGGTTTTAGAAGCGGTCCTGGTACTCTTCTTGCTCGAAGGACCACAGCTTGTGCTGACAGAGGCGGTTGATCACGGAGTACCTCTTGTTTCCGGCATCACTCTGAAAGCTACAGGTGCAGAAGTTTAATGCGGAAACAGGGACAGGCTTCTGAGGATTCAGATCTGCAGAAGCCCGCAACTGCCAGACATCGCATCAGCTGGGAAGCTGCGTGTCACCGCTTGAAGTATCGAAATCCCAAGCCTCAGCCCTCTATCTCTTGCTCTTACCGGTTTTGTCCAAGAGGGCCCAGGCCCTAAACTCCAAAGCCTTCAGCTGCAGGATCCCACTATAGGGGCCTTAGTAATTAGAAGAGGGTTTCAGCACTCACACTCGGACAAGCCTTGGCGAGGTTCCCTGGTCCCACGACAGGCACATGTGGCCCAAGCCATCATACATTGACGACAGCAAACATTATCCGCGCTACGATCAACCTCAACCTGCATCCTGCAGCTATTCGCATCATCCTCAAACTGTGAACTCATCAACACAGAAATCACGGCATCCTCAGTCCAGTTGGCCCCACTGGCAAAATGCCATACATGCAGCAACACATGCACACAAATTCCCAATCCATTCATGCTCGTTGGACGCCCAAATGTCCAGACCGTTGCCACTTGCTGATGAGGGCTCGACAGCTTCATGCAGTTGCACATGCATTCAAATTCTCAAATTCCGTTCATGCGCGTTGTACGTCTAAGCGTCCAGACTGGTACGTTCCTCTGGTTGTAGGCTCGACAGCGATGCAAGGAAAAACGGCCCAGCATCGGCACTCCAGTCAGTAGACACCACAGGGCAGAGGCCCTTCACGCTGTATCGTATGCATCCAAATTCAATGCATCACCCAGATTGCTGCAGTCAGTTTGGTGTAAGCCGTGGTATGCAGAAAGCATAGCCCAAATTCCATGCATGCACAACGAAGGCTCTGTGCTTCCAGACTCGCGTTCAGTGGAGCATGTATTCGGCTGCCAGACATACATCAGTGCAGCATAACAGACTCCATCATCTCGGCCGGGCATCTCCCAAGAATACGTTTTGCGTCCGCGGTGTCAGCTATGGGACATACATCAGGGGCAGCATAACCAGAACAGCCCATCATTGGTCTCTCCGTGGGGAATCCAAGGAGACACACAATAATGAGTGGCATCAAAGCAGTCCCAGTGGTCAGAGCAGTCGTCTAGTCGTCGCGCCAGGGGCCGAAACAGCATTTAGAGCGTGGCATCGTCTGCCATCACAAGCCAGCCAGGACCCAGAGGTGCGAGCAGAAAACTGGCAGTTGTGAGCCATGGCAGAAGCGCCGCGGGCTAGGGCTACCTAGACCCCGAATAGGGAGGGTTGGAGGAGAACCCACAACACGAACGAGAACGCGGGAATGACGGGGCCGGAAAGACCCTCCAAACCCCTGCTTTGGCGTGGTTCCCGGCAGCACTGCCCTGTTTGTGCCCGTCCCCCGATCGCGGTGGTGATGCGGAGCATGAAGATCCTGTCAGGCTTCAGTGTGTTTGTAGGGCAACGGGAGTAGCAGTGGGCTCGCTTCTGGTTCGGCAACAATGCCACTCAGAAACGACAAGACGCTTGGCTTGGAGCTAAGGAACAGCAGGGCATATGACAGTGCAGGCATGTATTGACACTAGAGGGGAGGGTATGGCTATGTACGCTGCAACAAGACGCTGGGGCTATGGTGTAACAAGACTCCATGACCTAGGGAGGAAGGGAGCGGGGGGGGGGGGGGGGGAAAGGGGGGAGAGGGCAAAGGGAGAGGGGTGGTTGTGGGTTTGTGTGGGGTCGTCCAAGAAGACACTCGAAGCGGCATTTCTTCTGCTTGGCTGTGGATGCTCGGTACTGTTGCAAAAGACGACCTATGATCATTCCCAAATTCGCAGGCTTAAATTCATATTCTTGAATTCAATGCAGGCATGCTGAAAATTCGATGCACCAAATTCGGGTCTTCACGACACTTGCAGTTTGCATGAAATTCAGGGGCCAGGCGCATGAAAAACATCGCTCTCGCCTCCTACTGTACGAGCATGCATCATCACAGTCGTCGGATGTGCTGCTGAGGGGCCATCGACACATGGAAAACAGGAACATAGAGGCCACAAAGAAGTAGCAAAACAGTGCAACATAGAAAGGATCTCCAGGCCCTCAAGAGCAGCGAGACATTTACAATACATGTGCTCCTAGCATCTGTGCAAGAACCGACCTCGGGATGAAAATGACCTTCCCATCCGGGAGCGTGATCGGGCACAAATATCCCTGCCCTTGGCGGCTCACCATTGGGAGGGACTCGTCCAGGTTCAGCATCGTGGGCCCTGGTCCACCCGCAGTCGCTGCCGCCGGAGCCGGAGGCGGTGGGGCGGCGGGTCCTGGTCCTGAAGCTGTGGCCGGGTCTGCAGTGGGAGAGCGTGCCGTTGGCTCCGCATTCATAGCTTCGATCTCCTTCTGAAGGACTTCCAGCTGTTCCTTGACCGCCTCAAGAAGCCCCCTCAGAAAATTGAGTTTATCTGGCAAGTGTTCGCTGTCCCCCTGAATTCTATCCAGGGATTGCTGAGCCCATCGCACTTGTCCACTGAGCTCCTTGATCTGCTTGCTCAAGGCGTAGGAGATGCCTGAGAGGTCTTTCTGGAGCTGCTCGAACCTCCCGTTCATGCCCGTGGAGAAACTCTCTTGGTTTCGTTGTAGCGGAGTGAGGAATCGTTGAAGGTCCGCATAGTCCTTCACCATCTTCTTGGCCACCGCATCCAAAGCTGTAGAGGTGTTGAGCTTGGCCTCCTCGAGGGCAGCCGAGATGGCACTGAGAGCATCTGTGATGCTTTTGTGTTCACTGCCCGCCAGTTTCGACCCAGCAGAGGAAAAGGCTTGCTTGAGGTCGTCCTTGGCACGCTGGATGGTTCTCTGAAGCTCCAGCTGGTGGCTTGCAAGGGTATTCCCCAAATTCGCGTGCATGGCATGGATTGTGTTGGCCACCTCGCCAACTTTCATGACTTTGTTCATGATGGCTTGCAGACGATTGCGGCCGTCCTCGAATCCATCATTGAGCATGCGAGTCAGGGAATCGTCCACGTCAAGCAGGCCCATGGCCCGTTGAAGGGCGTCCGCGCCAGCACTGCGGGTGGCATAGCCTTCAGCATGAACCAGCGCTTGCAGTTGTTGCACGGCCCGGACCAAATCGTCCAAACGTTGCTGGACCCCCGCACGTCGCATGCAGGGGAAAAGGGCCCACCCCCAGTAGTGGCCAAGGAAGAAGAGACCAGCCAACAAGGCTCCCATCAGACCCGTGAGGAGCATGCACCATACTCCGGTGAGATCCGGCCCATCCTCGCCTCCCTCGGGAAAGCGGTGTTGAGCCTGGTACAAGGCAACAGACATGGCGCCTCAGCACGGGAGTCTAGCTGTAGCCTTCAGTTTACTGGGCGCGTCAGCCAAAGGAGCTGCGCAAGCATGCGGCGTTAGAGCTGGCAGGAGGGGGATGCTTGAAGCAGCATGCGTCCTAGTATCTTTATGTGGCAGAAGCGGCTACCCAGAAGTACCCCAAAAGGCCCTCGTCACAAGCATCACGTCCAAGAACCCAAAGAAAACCCTGAAAACCCTGCCCAAAGTACGCGCCTCGTCGATCATGTAATCGAGCCCAGCGGCCCCCAAGCAGCCAAGGCTCAGGCTAGAGACAGGAACAGGAAGCAGTGCTAGGACGGGCAGTGGATACCAAGTGTTGGGCAGAAAATGCTGGTCCCGAGGGTCAAAGGTATCACCTACATCGTCTTCCAAACATCGCATCATCCCCTATGCGCTGGCAAGCTCGCGGCGGCACATGCTTTTACTCGGCTGCACACGCACAACTGCAAATTCCAACATGCTACATGGCTACAAATTCGGAAATCAGTAAATTCAAGGAATTCTCCAGCAGGCGCGAAGAGTGCGTGTGAAGGCTACACCAAAAGAACGAAGACCCGAGCTAACAAGAACCAAAAGCAAACACAACAAAGCACTCTCGTCCATTGCCTATGCTGAATTCGAATGTATCACAGCAGCTGCAGTTCAGTACCAGTAGGAACGGCAAGTCGGACGATGGGCAGCGCTGAAGACGAGGCACTCCCGTCCACATTCATCCCTTCGAGCGATTGTTGTATCTCGCGCAGAGCATCCAAGACATCGTGCAGCTGCCCTCGCACGTGGCCAACATGCTGTATTCCCGCGAGACCAGACACCCGAGAATGGAGTTCCTGAACAAGGGCATGAGTATTGTCCACTGCCCCCAGTCTGGATCGTAGTTGCAGGCCATGGTACAGAGAGTCCAGGGCTTCACCATGTCTTCGTCGGAGTTCAGCAACGTCGCCCCGAGTCTGGTTCAGGAGGTCATGCATCTGTCTTTGCTCTCCAAGGAGCTGCAGCAAAACAGCTTCGTGGGCACGCATTGAATTCATACTCAGTCGGAACATGCAGTACACCGAGTACATCGCTGCCAAGCATAGCCCAAAGGCCACGGCGCAGGCCAGCTGGAAAATCATGGATGGTGACCAAACCTCTACAGCGGTCAGTATCAGAGCCTAGAGCTGCACAGAACTAGCGGATTACCCACTACATGCAGAGGCAAAAACCCGTGAGGGAAATAAAAAGGAGCAGCCAGAGCACCCAAACTCCGAAACACCGAAATAAGAACAAAAAGAGCACAAAGATTACTCCGGATCGGAAATAACACAATCCCAGTAGTCGGGCTCTGGACTGGCTGCTCCCATGCACATGCTGATGACATCCGACTCCGTATCAGACGGTATCGGTATCGTTGCTGGACAGGAATCCTCCAGGTCGATCGTCACAGGAGGGTGGTGTAACAAGGTGCCCCGCGGCCACACCAGTCTAGGCTCAAGCCTCAGTTGCCTCGTAACCGTGGCCCCCCAAATCTCGTGTCGAAAGCGATCCTCTTCGTGAGCAGTAGGAGGCCGAAAACCAAAAGAGCAGAGCCGGCAGTACAAATCGTCCGAGAGGTTGCACGTACTGGCAGCCGTGCTATAGGCCGACAACACAACCCGGTCTCCTGTCCAGGCA